GGGGGAGGTGGCAGCATTATAGGTAATATGGAAGGAGCACTGTGATAGATAGGATGAGAGCCAGGAGAGAGCGGAGTCTCTGAGGCGAAGGGAGTGTAGTTTTTTGAGGAGGAGGGGGTGGGCAACCGTGTTGAAAGCCGCGGAGAGGTCAAGGAGTAGGAGCACTGAGTAGTGGCCATTAGCTTTGGCGGTTAGCAGGTCGTTGGTGAGTTTGAGTAGGGTGGTTTCGGTGGAGTGTAGGGGACGGAAGCTGGACTGTAGGGGATCAAGGAGGTTGTTATCAGTGAGGTGGGAGCTCAGGTGATTATAGACTAAGCGCTCGAGGAGTTTGGATGTAAATGGCATCAGGGAGATGGGTCTAAGGTTGTTCAGGTCGGTGGGATCCAGGGAGGGTTTTTTAAGTATGGGAGTGATGTGCGCATGCTTCAGAGGGGAGGGGAATGCGCCAGTAGAGAGGGAGAGATCAAAGATGTGAGTGAGGGAGTGTAGGATGGAGAAGGAGGGTGATCATAGGAGTTGTGTGGGGACAGGGTCAAAGAGGCAGGTGGTGAGGCGGGCTTCAAAGAAGACTTTAGTGACCTCTTCAGTGGTAGCAAGGTCAAAGGAGTGGAGTGTTGAGGGGGTTTTAGCATGAGGAATGCTAGGTGGGGTGGAGGTCTGGACAGTGGCAAGATCGAAGGAGAGGAGTGTTTAGGGGGGTTTTCGTGTGAGGGATGCTAGGTGGGGTGGAAGTCCCTACAAATTGCGTCCATCTTGTTTTGGAAGTGGTTAGCAATCTCGTGGGTGGTAAGTGAGGTGCTGGGTGGAGGTGGGGCCGGAGAGAGTAGAGAATTAAACGTAGAGAAGAGCCGGTGAGGGCTGGAGGAGAGGGTATTGATGAGGGTTACAAAGTAGGCTTGCTTGGCAGCGTGGAGAGAGGAGGTGTAGGTGAGGAAGGCACATTTATATCGGGTGAACGCTTGTTGGGATCTGGTTTTGCGCCATAGTCGCTCCAGCGCACGACTGCGTCATTTGAGATTTTTGGTATGGTCATTCTGCCAGGGTTGAAGCGGTCGGGGTCTAATGTTTCATGTGGTTAGGGGTGCTAAGGAGTCTAGAGCGTCTGACAGCGAGTCGTTATACACAGTAGTGGCCAGGTCAGGGCAGGACAGTGGAAGGATACTGTCGTAAAGTTGGTCAGCTGCAGAGTGGAAGGGGGCAGGGTTCAGGTTGCGGAGGTTTTGGCTGGTGATGGTTTGACGTTTGGAGCGGTAGGTGTTTGAGGACGAGGAGATGGAGAAGGTAATGAGGTTATGGTCAGAGAGAGGGAAGGGGTTGTTTGTGAGGTTTGTGGGGGTGCAAAGATGAAAGAAAACAAGGTACAGGGTGTTCCCGTCGGAGTGGGTAGTGGACTGTATACACTGTGCGAGTGCAAAAGAAGAGGTTAAGTGGAGGAGTTGGGATGTAGCCGGGTTATTGGTGTTGATAGGGATGCTGAAGTCTCCAAGGATGATGGTGGGTAGCTCGGAGGAGAGAAAGAAGGGTAACCAGGCGGAGAAGTCATCGAGGAAGCGGGACACAGGACCGGGAGGCCGATAGATTACTGCAATCCTCAGAGGGATTGGAGAGAATAGTTGGATGCAGTGGGCCTCAAAGAAGGAGAAGGATAGAGAGGGGTGGGTTTGGCTTGGTAGGACTTGGAAGGTGCTCAGCGGTGATAGAAGCATACCAACCCCACCACCTTTTTGACCACTGGGTCTGGTGTGAGTGGGTCCAGATGAGACCTCCATAGGAGAGTGCCGCCATGGAGGTAGAGTCAGTGGCTTGGATCCAGGTTTTGGTGATTGCTAGGAGGTTGAGGGAGTGGGAGACAAAGAGGTCGCGGATGGCGGGGAGTTTGTTGCAAACCGATTGGGTGTTCAGGAGTGCACATGAAAACGGAGGGGTGGCTTTGGGGAGCAGGGGACAGGTATTAGATTGAGGGAGTTGTGGCAGTTCGTGGAAGTAGGAGGGTGCCTTGTGGGTGAGCGAGGTGGTGGAGGACCAGGGTTCGGGGAGATGTCCCTGCGGTTAGGAGAATAGGAGAAGAAGAAGGGTGAGAAAGGTGGCATGGGAGCGGGATGTACAAGAGCGTGTGAGTCTACCAGTGGTGGCGTTCGGGTCAGTGGGAGAGTGGAGTATCAGGAGGAGGCGGTGAGAGCCGTAGTGGGGAGATGGAAGCAGTGAGGGCGCGATGTATAGTTGTTTGGGAGGAGCAGAGGGATATAGAGAAGAGATTTTGGGAACGGAGGAGAGGAGTATAAGGAGGAGGAGTACAGGTGGCATTTTAGGAAGGTAAAAGGAGTGGTGGACAAGTGAGGTGCAAAGTTTTTCAGGGCGCTTGGTTGCAGATAGTCTAGCGTGCAGTGGCGTATCTCGTTGTTGTAACTTCTTGTAGCACGAGTTCTTGTGCTAAGGATCAGGATGGGTAGAGTTCAGTTCATTAAGTTGTGGCCAAGGGTAGTCAAGCTGCAAGTTCCAGTTTGTGTAAGTCCCGGATTGAGGGGTGAGGATTGGCTTGAGAAGATGAGGGGTGGACGTCAGCAGTGGAAGTGTTTCCCAGGTGGTGGAGATGAGGTTTAGAGAAGGTTATGAGGGGTGGGCATTAGCTGTGGGAGTTGGGGCTGATGGATCACAGAACCAGCAGTCGGGCCTTTTCCCGCACTGTACTCGTGGGGGTCGTCAGATGGGCTTCAGGTCAGGGCAGGGTTTCGTTGTGGTAGGCGATGGTAGGCCTCACCAGGTCGAAATCATCCGTTGGGCTCAGCAGGTCCGGGCAGGGTTGCGTCGTGGTGGGTGATGGTAGGCCTCACCAGGCCGAGATCGTCTGCTGGGCTCAGTAGCGTGGAAATAAGCTTGCTTCGGGTCCCTCTTTCGGGCGTGGTTGGGGGTGTGCGGGTGGAGCTCCTTTAGGCCAGCTGCAGGCTCCCTTCGGGTGTCAGGGGGGTATGTGCCATGATAGGCCACAGCAGGCCCTGGCTGGCCAGGCGCTGTGGTAGTGGGGTAGGCCTCGGCCTAGGTGGTGCAGGTCTCTTGCTCCTTCTCCCTCCCCCTGTCCTCCACTACCTGGGTGGTAGGGTTGTATGGTGGGGCTTGGTGGTGTGGTAGGTCTGGTGGTCTAGGTATCTTTGGGCCCTGCTGGGATGGTGTGCGGCCAAGATGCGGGGGCCACAGCGGGCTCTGCAGGCCAGGTGCCTGAGTTTTGGCCGGTGGGAGGTGGGTGGCGGAGTAGTGGGCGGTGGGAGGCTTATATGGCTGCAATCCCTTATTGCTACTATTTAGTGTCCGTGGTTGGGCCCTGCAGGACGGGCGCCGCTGCAGTGAGGCTCTGGGAAGGTAGGGGTGGAGCTCCTTCTCAGGCCAGGAGTATCTTTGGAGCTTGGCGGACGATGGCAGGCCGCGACTTGGTTGCGGGGCGGCTCGTGGAGGGGCACCAGAGTAGAGAAGGACCGGTGCCACGTGGATGGGCCGGCGCCGTGTGGAGGGCCGGGAGGACCGTTCACCGAGGAGGGCCAGCGCCGCGTGGATGACCGCTCTCCCCTCAAGGTTAGAGAGGTAGGGGAGACAACTGAATATAAATGGGTGTAGCGCTAATACTTATAGAGCTAATAGACTACAGCTAGTAAAATAGAGACAAATAAATCTGCATATGTCCAATGAAGTGCTCCGTAGGACCATGGGAAATATGTCATAACCTGACAGGTGACACTTAAAATAAAATGAAAGGAGCAGGAGAATCACACAGCGCACATAAATCCACATCAATGAACAAAGTAGAGATAACCGTCACTAGTGCAAGTGTAGCACACTCAGTATGTGGTAAAATGGGATAAATCAGTCCACTTTGCACACAAGTGAAAAAAACCCTTCATAGACGTGAAGGTGCCATGAATCCCAAAGTGGTCTGAGTGCCCCCCACCTCCTTGCAGTGACCACAAGGGCCAGCAAACCTTGTAGTAACTACCAAACGATCTCCCAGGGACCACCTTCCCAGTTGGACCGTAATGGATGTTAAGCCCGGGCTACAACCAGACCTTCTCCTGCACTCCACCGTCCTGGCAATACCTCACGTCCCCTCAGGTTCCACTCAGAGACACAAATAGATACGCTCCATAGTGTAATATTGTCACTTTATTTGATAATAATTCATTAAAAATGCCGACTCACATGCTTGCAGGTATCATAAGCATAAAACGCTGGCTATCCTCATAACATGCGGCTTCATGGAGTACCAATATGGCGCATGCGCCGGAAATGACGTCACCGCATCCCGGAACTGACAACAGGCGTACCAACGCGTTACGTCACGAGTAACACGTGACTTCATCAGGGGAGACAACTGGCTGCTGTGTGCCGTGTGCCTGCTGCTCCCGGGGTTGGAGGGTGGGCAGGAGCGTGGAGGTGACCTGAGCTGTGTGCTATGCTGCTGCTCCGGTTGCCATCTTGGTCGAGGGGGGCATTTCAGGGGGGAGGGGGAATACATTGTAACATGACAACATGGGGGGCATTTCAGGGGGGAGGGGAATACATTGTAACTGGAATGGGGGACATTTTGGGGGGGGAGATACATTGTAACATAACAACATGGGGGACATTTCAAGGGGGAGGGGGAATACATTGTAACATGACAACATGGGGGAGATTTCATGGGGTATGAATACTTTTTCAAGGAGCTGTAAATACAGAGATGAAATACGCATTTCTGAGCTGTTTTACCTGCCAAGGAATTTGTATCTCTGCTCATCCAGTCCTGAGATTCACACAGCTCTGTCACACAACACAATCCTGTCTGGCAGGAAACCTGCAGTGAAGCCTCCAAACAGAAAAAAACGACCTCTGCAGATAGGCCACTGCTCCCACACCGAGAGTTCATTCTGGCAAGGGATAGGCTTCTCTACTCTGACCTCTGTGACTGCTGCGGCTGCTTTCCAAAGGAATCCAACTAAGACCGGGGAGAGCGAATATAGTGAATGCGGGGTCCGGGGAGAGCGGATATAGTGAATGCGGGGTCCCGGGGAGAGCAGATATAGTGAATGCGGGGTCCAGGGAGAGCGGATATAGTGAATGCGGGGTCTGGGGAGAGCGGATATAGTGGATGTGTAAGGTTGTGATGCATGGATAAATACTGATGTCCAATGTTAAGCTATAATGTGCCTGTAATATGCTCTTTGGTCAGTAGATGGCAGCAAAGTATGAGAATCAAGTTTGCAGAGACGTTTGCTAAGACAGAACCAATACTTATTTACCTAATAACGTTTAATGAATGCTAATTTAGGGGTTGAGTAGGACCCTCAGAAGGGTGATAGTGAACTGTAAATGCAGGTTTGAGGCTGCAATTAAGAAATGACTTACTGCATCACAAACTCTATGGGAAGGGGAGGAGTTCCGGTGCAGAGGAGGAAGTGACAGGGAGTCTGGGTCTGGCTGATGGATGCTGAGGACGTCTGGAGAATCTGTGTGGGGCCCGGAAGAGGATTTACGGCTCACAGTGGAATCTGGCGACGGCACCTAGGGAAGATTCACAACGAGACCAGGAAACAAGTGACTGTGTGGTCCGGTTCTGGAGTGGGTCAGGAGAAAGCACCAAGAGCCTGGCAGGGAACTGTAAGTGCGGCTTTGCCACAGCACATCGCACCACACGTGGTCATTGACATTTTGGATATACCAGAAAGTTACAAGAGACACACTCCACTTTCCTTTGGATTACAAATAGTATTGCGCAATACTTAGGGTGCACCCCAACGTTATATCTTGCTCAGGAACATTCAGGCGCAGCCAGGCTGCTTTCTGGACATTGGGGAAAAGTCCGCAAGTACGGGGTCAGTGTTAGACAGTATTATCCTTACTGTATGGTTATGCGCTGTTATCATTCTGTTTACGTATGCTCAGCTACATGATCACTATAACTGTTCAGTAAACGTAATTGTTTTAAAAGAACCGCTGTCTGTGTGGCATCGTGTACCCTCTGAATCTGTGGGCCCAGCCCTCGGACTTCCTTCAGATGCGGGGTCCAGGGAGAGCAGATATAGTGAATGCGGGGTCCGGGGAGAGCAGATATAGTTAATGCGGGGTCCGGGGAGAGCGGATATAGTGAATGCGGGGTCCGGGGAGAGCGGATATAGTGAATGCGGGGTTTGTTCCATACAAATCAGTTGCTGTCCTGCCCCCTACAGCCCATAGTGGGTATACCCCGTCACCATCCTGCTGGCGTTGTCAGTTGATCCTGCGTTCACCCAGCAGACATCACGCTGCACGTTGCACTTTGTACGATCATTTGGCTGATCCCTCTAACAACATTCAAACTGCTGAGTTCTGTTTTAAACAACTGTCATGCATACCTGGTACTCAATGAGCTCAAGTATATTTTAATCAGCTGGGGGGTCAGTAATTGCTCCACGCGGCGCAGGTCACCCAGTCTCGGTACGATGAGGAGAAGGGCGGTGTCATCGGCGTACGGCATCTCCAGCACATTGACATCCATCTCTCTGTCCCTGAACGTCTTATAGAGTCCCCTCCGGCGCATCGTTGGCGCTAGGATTAATGGAAATCCACCCACAAAGTCTCTTTCCTCTGTTTGTTGTTTGTCAAACTGTCCTTTCCATTTCCCTGGAGGAACAGAAAAAAAAATGTTTCCTTTAAAGGTAAACTATAGTGGTTTGGGATCGTTGTATTCTATAGACATGCGCGGTTCGGTTTGATCCGAATAGAAATTTGGACAAAATTGTCATTATTCGGAGATTGAGAGGTATCTGAATTTCTGAACTACAACAGTGGAAAATTATAAAAAATCCGAAATAACAAAAAGGAAGTTTTGTTAAAAACTTGAATCGAATTGAATTCCAAAAGAATTCTAAATGTAAAAAAGAATTTGAAATCAAATTCGGAAAAACAAATTTGAACTTTAAACATATTGCCGACTTTTGCTGATTTCCCTCAAAGACTGTGTGTGTTAGTGTTAGAATATAGCCATCTTCCGAAATTCAAATTGCGAAAAGAATAAAATAAAAACAGAATAGAATTTAAAATAATAGAATAGAAAATAATAGAATAGAAATAAATAGAATAGAAAAAATGTAGCTGTTTTCCGAAATTTGAATAGAATAGATTGGAATAAAATAGAAAGAATAAAACCATCATTTGAAATTTGAAATTTGAATTTTAAATAGAATAGAATAAAAAATGAAAGAATAGAGCAGTCTTCCAAAATTCGAACTTCAAAAAGAATAGGATTTAATAAAATAGAATAGAAAAGAACAAAATAACACAAAATAGAATAGAATAAATAGAATAGAATATAAAGGAATAGAACAGAAAATAAAAGAATAGATCAGATTAGAATAGAATAAAATAAAATAGAAAAAATATAGCCGTCTTCCAAAATTAAAATTTTGAAAAGAATTGAATAAAACAGAATATAATAGAGCAGAAAAGAATAGAATAAATTACAATAGAATAGAATACACTAGAATAAAAACAAAAAATGTGTTAGAGCCCATTTACACTTCCGCATTGCAGTCATGTCTGGCCGGATCACCAGATAAAAAAAAAGAGAAATAAAGAATATAAAGAAAAATAAGGCAAAAAAAATTCTGAAACAACACATCTAAGATCTGGTAAGTTGCAATATATTCATGTAATTAATGTAATTATACTAACAATGTTTATCTTTAGGCATCTAAACATCTTATGGAATTATCAAAATGAAGCGGGAGGAGGCAATGCTCCAACTCTTTCAGGTATGTGTATGTATGTCCTCTTGAGCTATTGAGCTCTGTAAACAACAGAGGAGCCGGGGAAATTATTCCATATTTTTATATTTACTAATAAAGAAGAAACTATATTTTTGAGCATTCTATAGAAGAAAATATGTATAAAATCACTTTACATTCTCTTCAGTCTTGAAGCGTCCACTTTAGCCAAGAGATGCACCTTTGATTTATCTAAACCAGACACCATTTTTTGGGCTGTTTGTTGCTTTAAAACTGAAATTGGTTAAGTCTCCAAGCTGCTCGCGTTTTAAAGAAAGTGTTTGTGCAACTTTTTTGCTATTCACATGCTGAAAGAGGCGGAGCTGAGCAGAGAGGTTGGCAGAAGAGGTGGGCTGAGGGGTAGGCAGAAAAGCAGAGAGGTTACCAGAAGAGGCAGGCTGAGGGGTTGGCAGAAGAGGTGGTATGAGGGATAGACAGAAGGTGGGCTGAGGTTTGGGAGAAGAGTTGGGCTGAGGAGTAGGCAGAAGTTGGGTTTAGGGGTAGGCAGATGAGGTGAGCTGCGGGGTTGACAGAAGCTGGGCTTACGAGTATGCAGAAGAGGCGAGCTGAGGGGAAGGCAGAAAGTGCAGGCTGAGGGGTAGGTAGAAGGGGTGGGCTAAGGGGTAGACAGAAGATGGGCTGAGGGGTTGGCAGAAGAGGTGGGCTGAGGGGTTGGTAGAAGAGGTGCGCTGAGGGGTAGGCAGAAGGGGCAGACTGAGGGGTAGACAGAAGAAGCGGGCTGAGGGAAAGGCAGAAGAGGCGGGCTGAGGGGTAGGCAGAAGGAACGGGCTGAGGGGTAGGCAGAAGGGGCGGGCTGAGGGGTAGGCAGAAGGTGGGCTGAGGGATGGGAGAAGAGTTGGTCTGAGGAGTAGGCAGAAGTTGGGTTTAGGGGAAGGCAGATGAGGCGAGCTGCGGGGTAGGTTGAAAGAGCAGGCTGAGGGGTAGGTAGCAGAGGTGGGCTGAGGGGTAGGAAGAAGAGGTGGGCTGAGGGGTAGGAAGAAGAGGTGGGCTGAGGGGTAGATAGAAGATGGGCTGAGGGGTTGGCAGAAGAGGTGGGATGAGGGGTAGGCAGAAGATGGGCTGAGGGGTAGGCGGAAGAGGTGGGCTGAGGGATAGGCAGAAGGGGCGGACTGAGGGGTAGGCAGAAGGGGCGGGCTGAGGGGTAGGCAGAAGAGCAGAGGGGTTATCAGAAGAAGTGGGCTGAGGGGTTGGTTGAAGAGGCGGGCTGAGGGGTAGGCAGAGGGGGAGGGCTGAGGGGTAGGCAGAAGGGGCGGGCTAAGGGGTAGGCAGAAGGGGCGGGCTGAGGGGTTGGTTGAAGAGGCGGGCTGAGGGGTTGCATTGCTGGTTGATATGTTGATGATGGTGCACACACTGCCTCCCCCTTCCTGGCCTGTCACGCGGCATGCTCCGACAAGGATCTGCTATCAATTATTTTGGGATATCCACCACTTTTTGTTTTTGGTTCCGGCTTAAAACTCATACCAGACCTAAAGGGCCTTGGGTAGTTATTGGTGTACCCCAAGATTCAGTGTGATTAGTGGGGTACCCCAAGGTTCAGTGTGATTAGTGGGGTACCCCAAGGTTCAGTGTTGGGACCCTTACCTTTTAATATACTTATATACGATACGGGGTCGGGGATCTCAGTCTTTGCAGATGACACCAAGCTGTGCCGGGGAATAACGTCCTTACAGGATGTCTCCAACTTACAAGCCGACCTCAATGCTCTGTGTAATTGGGGGACTATGGGGCCAATGAGGGCTAATGGTGATAAATGTGAGGATCTGTACTTGGGAGCTAAGAATATGCATCATACATACTGGGGGGGGGGGTATAACTGGGGGGGTCAATGGTGGAGAAGGATCTGGGGGATCAATGGTGGAGAAGGATCTGGGGGGTCAATGGTGGAGAAGGATCTGGGGGGATCAATGGTGGAGAAGGATCTGGGGGGATCAATGGTGGAGAAGGATCTGGGGGGATCAATTGTGGAGAAGGATCTAGGAGGGTCAATGGTGGAGAAGGATCTGGGGGGGTAAATGGTGGAGAAGGATCGGGTGGGGGGGTCAATGGTGGAGAAAGATCTGGGGGTTCTGGTAGATCACAAGCTTAATAATGGCAGCAATGCAAAGCTGCAGGTTCTAGAGCGAGCAAAATCCTCTCTTGTATTAGGAGAGGTATAGACTCCGGAGAGATATCACCCCCCCCCCCCCCCCCGGTACAAATACTTATTAAGACCTCATCTGGAATATGCAGTTCAGTATTGGGCTCCAATTCACAAAAAGAACATTGGGGAACTGGAGGAAGTACAAAGAAGGGCAACCAAACTGATACGAAGCATGGAGGAGATCAGCTATGAGGAAAGATTAGAGGAACTGAATGTATTTTCTACTGAGAAGAGGAGATTAAGGGGGGATATGATCTCCATGTATAATACATAAGGGGGGATATGATCTCCATGTATAATACATAAGGGGGGATGTGATCACAATGTATAATACATAAGGGGGGATATGATCTCCATGTATAATACATAAGGGGGGATATGATCTCCATGTATAATACATAAGGGGGATATGATCTCCATGTATAATACATAAGGGGAGATATGATCTCCATGTATAATACATAAGGGGGGATGTGATCACCATGTATAATACATAAGGGAGGATATGATCTCCATGTATAATACATAAGGGGGGGATATGATCTCCATGTATAATACATAAGGGGGGATATGATCTCCATGTATAATACATAAGGGGGGGATATGATCTCCATGTATAATACATAAGGGGGGATGTGATCACAATGTATAATACATAAGGGGGGATATGATCTCCATGTATAATACATAAGGGGGGATATGATCTCCATGTATAATACATAAGGGGGGATGTGATCACCATGTATAATACATAAGGGAGGATATGATCTCCATGTATAATACATAAGGGGGGGATATGATCTCCATGTATAATACATAAGGGGGGATATGATCTCCATGTATAATACATAAGGGGGGATATGATCTCCATGTATAATACATAAGGGGGATGTGATCACAATGTATAATACA